ATATATATATATATATATATATATACGTCTATTTTGAATTTATAGCCCCCCTGGAGAAAACTCCACCAGCCACTGACTGCCTTTGGTAGAATTCAAAAGATACATGGTTGGAAATCATTGCCAGACCACCGTGTTGTGGAGCTATATTTCAACCAAGCATCTCAAATTACTCATCATAAAACGTTGCTTCTCTACCTACCGGATTTAGGAAGCTGAAAACATCTCCATCTGGAAAATAGCGTTGCACCCTGTGGAATCCTGGCAACAATTTTCTTTCCTTTCTCTTTTCAGGAGAATTACCTCTGAACATCCTGAAGTGAAAGCATGCAGAATGGGATTGGCACAGGACAAAGCAACGCTCAGCCGTTCCCATTTGAAGTTTGAATCCACAGCCAAGTGAAATACTGGGGGCTGGAAGCCTGTTGCTGAGCACCAGCGTTCATAGAGATGCCTTTTCTGATCTAAAATAGGTAAATCACTTAAGCCCTATTAGGTACAATCATAAGCTATTAAAAGTTGTTATTAGGAAGGAGTCACCCAAGCACATAATGATGGGACAAACAGAATAGAAAAACAATGATTCAATAAGCCAGAGGAGAAATAAAAGGAAAGGGAATGCGTTCTGTTTTATGCTCCAAAATGACTTTAGAGTCTCAGGTCCCAGCTGAATGCCATTGCTGTGAAAGCAGCTTCACAGAACAGGCTGTCACATCCGCTGACATGTGTCCTTTTCCTCAGAGAATGAAGTTTTTTCTGTCAACTAGAGTACAGCCCGTCAGTCCGTTACAGTAATGGAACTGCTGACAGAAGCAATAGACAGAACAAGAACTCACTCTGATGCATGTAAAAGTACAGAGAAGTTATATCTTTTTTCTGAGGTTATCATGGGAATCAATAGTAAATAGGATACCAATCCATGTATTCTTGACTGTGCTTCTAGAGCATCAAGCTTTCATGCACTAAATGACAGAGATCCACAGTCAATAATACTTTCTTTTACACTTCAAGGGCAACAGTTAATGTTTGCACCTAGTTGGATTGGAAGAGGTTCTTTTAAATGAAGAGGCTTAAACTCCAATTCAGGAAAACATATTTGTTTAAAAATCTATCCTTGAGAATAATGGTTTGGAGCCTTCAATGCTGTTCCCCTGCTGTTTCCAGGGCAACCGTGTGTCTTAGATCACCATTGTGAAGTAAGTTAGAGGAAGTTACATATCACCTCCTACAGCAAAGAAAGGGAAGGCTCAATTATCCAAGGTCAGAATTCATATAACACAATTATTTCATCTATAATTTTCATATTAAATAGAGGGGTCTTAACTGATTGACTGAAACTGGATTCTCTTTGGATACTAAACATTGAGGCTACATATAACACTGCTAGCAATGGTTACATTTACTGCTCTGTTTATAACAGATTATTATTTTACAACTCTTTGTTTTTAGTTTAGTAAACACTGATTAGGCTTTTTGTTGGAATCCTGATTTCTTTAATGGCCTGACCAAATCTAAACTTTCTCCTCTGAGGAATAATTCAACACTGAGAAGATTTTCTTTGAAGCCAAAGTTAAAATCCATGAAGCCTTTGTTTAATACAGGGAGGGAACATTTTCAAAGCTTTCTTTGGATCCTTCTATGTTAGATTTAGAAAAGAGTAAAACCCACAATATAAAGATTAGGAAAACCCAAATTTGACTATTGATTCTTAAAAATATACTAGGATTTAAAAAACACAAATAAACAAAAACACTTTCAATGTTTTCTTTTTTTTTTTTTTTTTTTTTACAAAATTTGGCAAAATCCTGACTTTTTTTCCTTAAAAACAATGTCCTCCAACCTCTCATCCTAGGAGCAGGATGTGTCATCACACCTCTACCTTAACGTAATTTCTACTTTTTAACAGGCATCATATCATAGAGCAAAAGATAAAATAAGATTCAAAAC